CAATTCAGAGCAATTGGTTGAGCACACTTAGTATTTTCTATGGACCGGTCGATTTACTTGGTAAAGCCAACTCGAATTCAGAGCAAAACACAACCAAACATAAGCATGAAAACATTCCCGGCCGCACCTCCGAGTGAAGTAAGGCTGATCAAGGTGATGCCTGCCTACACGGCTACACTATTGTAGAAAACTTCACCACTGAGTAATTAGCATCTCCATTTAGAGTACTGTAGTGAACTTCTTTAGATAAAATTAAAACCACATCATCCACATTAGGCCTCCACAGACTATCGTCACCTCCCCCAGGGGTGGAGGACTGGCTTGATTACGATGTTCGAGGGGTGGCTCAGCCACGTCGTGTCTTAGTATCTTAGCTTTTAGGCTTCGGCCTCCATCTTTGTACCAAAAAAAAAAAATGGCATCATCCTTGTACAAGAATTTTTTTTCCTCGTGACAAAAGTGTGAACCTATCCAGTGTAAAATAATGAAATACATACAAGAATTATTATGTATAAGAATCTTGTGCATTTATCATTTTATTTAACGAATTTCAAAAAGGGCTCCTCAATGTTGTCTTCCATCCACTCCAAATCATCATAACTCATATACCTCCTCCAGAACCAGTGCTCCCTCCATATCTTATCCATCTTCTCGATCGGCACATTCTTCGTCTCCGGCAGTAGGAAGAAAACGAAGCCTGTCATGAACGCCACCCATCCCCCGAAGAAGAAGAAGGTCCCCGACTTGAGATGACACAAAATGGCCAAAAACACCTGCCCGATCACGAAACTGAATAAGAAGCTGACTGCCACAGTTATGCTCTGCCCTGTCGAACGTATCTCCAAGGGGAAGATCTCGCTAGTCACCAGCCACCCGAGCGGGCCCCACGAGAACCCAAATGCGGTCACGTACGCGCATATCAAGACCACAATTGCAGCATTGTAGCCCGGGCTCAATGCCCCGTGGTCTCCGAGCTTCTCAGCCATGATCCCCCCAATCGCCATCTGAGTGGCGAACATGAGGACCCCACCAAGAACAAAGATGACCCGCCGACCGACGCGGTCCACGAGCAGGGATGAGAGCACCGTGGAGACAATCCCGAGGGAGGACGTAAGGAGGGAAGACATGAGAG